CTGATCCTCCTCCGTTGCCCTCAGCGTATTTCCCTTCACAATGACCCCGCCACCATCAACAGCAGCATTGGAAATATACAACGCGCAAATACTCCCCTCCAATTTGTTGTCAAGCAGCAGCAGCGTCGAGTTCACACCAAGAAAAAACTTCACAAATAAAATGGCGTAAGACGACGTCGTCACAAGCGTACTACCCACCTCCAGTATCTGGGGGCTCGCGCCAAAATCTCCCTCAAACACCAAAGCACCAGAATCCAACATCGAGGATGTCACGTTCACGTGCACGCGCGCACCACTTCCCTTGATCAACAGGCCCATGTGGACGCACTGCAGCAGCGTGATGTTGAGTGTCTGTTGTGGTTCGTCGAAATACGACAGATCCAGCACGATCGCGGCAGTGAAGGTCACGTTGACGAAGCACAGACCACGCACACCGGGGTCAGGATAGTCCACGGAGCTGATGCTGCCACCGTGCACGCACCGCAGTCCAACACCCTCACGGGTGCTCCAAATATTGAGCTCTTCTTGGTAATTCGTCACAGGAGAGCCCCTTGCCTCGTTGCACACGCCGTAGATGGTCGGGTGCGAGTCGGACGGTGGTGACCAATCGTTTGTCATACATGCAATGGTTGACGAGTACGAGCCGTACGTGAAGTTGTTGTCAAGTATCGACCACACACTCCGATCGCAAAACGCCACGCCGTTCTCCTTAGCCAAGTACACAACGTAGGCGGTGCGGAACCCGTCGTCGCGGTGCACCAGCCAGCTGCCGCCAGTCACGGTCAGCGTGTTTGCAATGAGCATGGCAAGACCAAGACGGAAATTGCTGGACACAACCTGAAGCACGCTGCCGCCAGCCACCACAACACCCTCAAACACACACGCGCCCCTGTAGTACTCGGTGCTCGGTGCACTCCACGAGCTGTTCTGTATGGAGAAAATGGAGCCGCCGCTGACACGCAGGTCCGACGCAAGAGCGTACATCACGTACGTCTCCGAGATGACAACGCAGTTGTCCTTGTAGAAGACGCTGGACAGGTTCACGTCAAGGCCGCGCTCCACGAGGATCGCAGCGCACGAACTCCCGCCACACACCAGCGCCAACCGCGTCATGACAAACCGCGTCGACAGAAGCCGGACGCCGTCCAGGACAAGCGCGGGGTCGTATCGAAACCCCGCGTGTCCACGGGTCGTCGGCACGTACTGCGACCTGTCAACCGTCGCGCGCAGCGTTGAGTTCGTCAGCAACACACTCGAGTTCAGCGGCATCGCGCCGTGTAGCACAATCGTGCCCACCAGCGACGTCACGTTCGTTATGTTGACGAGGGCGTGGGGCATCAAGCGCGCCGTGCTCTCGCTGAGGCCACCAATCCGCAGCTGCGCGCCGCCCGCAAGCACGCAGTGTCGCAGCGTCACGTTCAGCGCGTCAGCGAACACGTCCATCGAGCGCAGGTCCACCGCCACAGTGATCGGCCCGCTGAACACCACCGAGTCGAAGCACGCCGTCGCACGCCCGTCGCCGACCGTCACCGACTCCGTCAGCGTCACGCCACTCACGCAGCCCTCCGCGCCGCCACCACCGCCGCCGGCCCTCGCAGGCGGCACGTCGAACGGCAGGCACGCATCGCCCACACCGCCGGCACGGCAGCTGCACACGCAGTCGGAGAACGACGCCGTCAGCGCATCGAAGCACGCCAGCGCTGCCTCACAGCCGTCGCACGGCACCACGCTCACGGAGGGCAGGCCGGCCATGCGGTAGTCGCCGCTGCTCTGCAGCACCCGGCCGCCGGCACGGTTGTACTGCACCGACACGACGCCGCTCGCGATCGTCGGCCCGGAGACAAGCGTCGCGGCAGTGCCAGCGCAGCGCGCAATCGACACGGTGCCGCCGCTCAGCGTCACCCCCGACAGCGACGCCACCGACGACGCCTCGCCCACCGCCCACACGTCGTGCATGTCCAGCCACCCGCCGGCACCGAACGCTCCACCGTCGCAGCGCACCAGCGGCGACGCAACAGACCCCTCGACGCCCACAAAGCGCAGCACCGAGTCAAACACCGCGAGGCACTCGCCAAGCACAAGGCCGCCGCCGCCGCTCACGACCGACACGTTTGTCACGGAGAAAACCGGGTGACTCCGCAGACTGTGACGCAACGAGGACGCCACACGCATCGCGAACACGGTCGGACCGCCCGACGCCTCCAGCAACACGCCGTCAAGTACCACCGCGCTCGACAGCAGATCCACACCGCCGCCAACGTGCACCGCCGACCCGCCCGCGTAAAACGACCTCAGCACAGTGTTGCTCACACGCAGCTGCGTCAGCAACAGCGACGTCGCGTGCAGCACAAGCGGCGACGCCACCGCGTCCGTCAGCCCTCTCAGCTGCGAGTAGCGCATCGGCCCCGGCGTCACAATCGTCGAGTCACGGACCGTCACGTTCGTGTGTGCCGGCAGGTTGTCCACAAACACAAGCGAGCAGTAGCCGCCGGGCAGCCCGCTCACGCTCACCTCCAGGCTCCGGTCACTCGCCGGCTCGCCGCTGTAGCCCCGCACGTAGATCTGTGCACCGCCGTCGCACACGCAGTTCCTCAATTCGATGCGCAGCGCGCCGGGAAGCATCGCCGGCACGTCGAACACAACAGCCACGCCGTTCGTGATGGACACGCCGTCCATCAGCACCGTGTCCACGGCGCGGCCAACCGTGATGGCTCTGTCCACCGTACCGCCCCGCAGTCGCAACACCACCGCATGCACCGCGGGCATCCACGCCGCCACCGCAACCAGCGCCAACGCCACAAGCAGCGCCGCACGCACAGCCGCAATGGCCATGCGCAACACACAGTGCCAGCCGCGCGGACACGCACCCACCGCAGACTGCATCCACCGACCCAAACAGTTACCAACAGAACTCTCGTGGTGTGTCGCACTCGCCCCGTCGACCATTCCTCCTGTCTATCAAACCCCTTCCTACAGATGGCAAATCCAGAAACACAATTCCGCCAGATCGTTATCCCACTAATTCTAAACCTAATACTGCAATTAATCCCTAACACCTTGAAACGGTAGTTGTGCTGGTAAAGCAAAAGTAACTCTAACTGCACGATCAGAAAAGGAACAAAAGGAAGCAACCACAGTAACCAAACACAGTGGCACGCAGAGGCATCCGGCCACAAAAAGTCCCAAACACAGTAAAAACGCCAACAGGAAACCGCGCAGACGCAATCAATTCAGTAGCACCATCACCCTCCCACCGCCCGCGCAGCCCCACACAGCCACCGTCCCAAGTAACAGGGCCCCGGCAAAAACAAACATGACCACTGGTGTCGCTGGTGTGACCAATGAGTCGGCACTGCACAAGAAACAGCGAACTCATACGCGCACGGCATACACAATGACAAAAGGAAGAATGAAGGAGCACGGCGGCAGTACTCAGACACGGGGAAAAAGGATCCACATCAATTGCACAGCCCGATTGACTCGCAGCCGTACGGATGGTGATCGCGCCGCCGCCGCACTTTGCGTTTGTGTGTGTCTGCCGTGGACTGAGAGGATGATGAGACGAAAAGAGATGCGGTGCGGTCCTCATCCATCTCGGTTAACTGTGACACCAGTCACGCCATCCCGTCAGATTACCTGCAGCCAAGACCGTCACCGTCAGCAGCGGTCAGTGCCTTCTCTCTCCACCGGGCGCCGTCACGCGCCTCCTCACTCACCAAGACAACGGGGAGCAGCAGCCACACACAACTGCCAGCACCGAGTACAAAAGAAGAATCCACCTGCACTGCAATGTGTGTGTCCTGCGCGTGTGGCTGTGTGTGCCTGCGAAACACAAAGCATAAAAGTGGGAAAAAAAGAAAAAACAAAAAAGAGAAGAAGCGTAAAGCATCTGAAGAGACGCACAAACACAAATGCACAGCAGAGGCGCATGTCCAAAGAAAGAAGAATGGAAGGGCTGCTCAAACTCAGGATTGCACTGCAGCCCGATCAGCGGCAAACCACAGAAGATTTATTCAAAATAAAAGAAAACTTTTCCTAGCCACCCCCTTCTTATATAAACCCCGTCATAAAAAAAAAAAAAAGAAAAAAAAACGTCCTCTATTACTGTTCCACACAAATTTAAAAATAAGAAAAAAAAAAAAGCAATAATAATAATAATAATAAATTCGCCTAGCTGCCGTGTGGCCACACCAAACTGTCTGTATACATTTTGCCCGGAAAAGAAAATTAAATATTTACATGCCTTTCAACCGTCCGACCTCCATGTGTCCGCACATCGTTTATATTTCAAGGGGTCATCTGCGTGTTGCTGCTCCCCTCAGCCTTCTCATCGGCGTGCGAGTGCGGCCTGCAGGGCTCAGTCACTCGTATGTTTGTGTGGGAAAGATGAGAGAAGCACGCAGACATGACGGGAGTCGCGTCTCTCCATCGGGAGAGTGAGCGCAGCAAAAGAAAAATCATTAGGGGGAGAAAAATGCTGACGGCACTGCCAGCGCAAAAAAACACACAAAAAGCAAAAGAAAAACACGGCGGCAGGGCGTGGCTGTGTGTGTGGCGCTGCGGGTGTCTGCCCGCCCTGACCGCAAAAAAAAAAAACAAGAGGGAAAGAAATGTGTGCTCCGCCCCACAGGCCCTCGTCGCACGCCCACACGTCACGGCTCCCTCAGCGCGCCGTTCGTCGCGGCCCCTCCTCATGCGTGCAGCAGGCGAGGCGCACAGGGCCGTCGTCATGAGCGTGTCGGTGGGTGTGCGAGTGGAGCAGTTGGGCGAGAAACACACAGTACCCCTCACAGGAAGAGTGCAGCAAGAAACAATTAACAATGTGGAAAAGAAAAAAACGTCCATAGTGATTGCCCCAAAGAAACAAGCAAAAGAGAAGAGAAGGAATTAAAATAGAGCAAAAAGAAATTATTCTCTGCGTAGTAAAATTCATTCCTAGCGGTGTATGTGTGTCGTTGCAGAGGAGAGGGCAAGTGTTCCACACTGAGACCGCACGCTCCTCACGCAGCCGCAAACCCCCACAGCCCCAGCAGAAGAAGCAGCGGCAGCAGTCCGCTCCCAGCAGATGTCAAGCCCACCACAGCCGCATGTTCTCTGGCGGCAGCTCCCTCCAGAGCTGCCCACCCCGCCAGTGATTCCCCTTGGCCATTCGAAGTGTGGGCCTTGTCCTTGAGTGCATTTATCTCAGTGGAATTCAGTGGGCGGTTGTACAGAAAGACATTTTTTACCTTCACATTAGTTTTCTGGTCGGCATCCTCACCGCACGCGCCAAAACAAAAGCGTACAAGCTCAAGTGGCCTCTCACCTTTTAACGGTAATTCTTCCTCCCCCAGCGACTCACCATCAACGTACACAGAGGCCTTTTTGCCTTGCAGCATGAGTGCCACTTGGTATCCCTTCTTCGGCTCCCAACGGCCGCTCTGTTTTGTTGTCTTGCCTTTGAGCCCCGTCCCCCACGTCTTTTCCGCCGTATACGACAGTCCCATGGTATGATTGGAATTAGTGTCCCCCAACGTTGCAGTCAGTAGAGGTGTGTTCCCACTCGGAGTCTCTTCGATGGTCACCAACGCCACAAGTGTGAAGTTGTGGCTCAAGGATACATGACGCATACTATCACCCCGAGTGTTCACGGACCATGATACCCTGGAGCTAGGCTCCGTCAATTGAAATCCATATTTGGCCTTCCTTCCTTTCGTCACCGTCGCATTCAGGCAAAGGTACTCGTCGATCCACGTGCCATTGCTGGCCGTATCGGACAAAACTGCCACCAGACCCGCCGTGGGTATGGTCAAGTTGGAGAAGAAGGCGTCCTTTTTTGCCCAAGTACTGAGGACGGACCTGATTGTACCCAGTTCCTCCGTCAGGCGGGAAAGCGACATGACACTGCTTTTATAATCGCCCCTCCGTTGTAAAAGATGCAAATTGCCATCCGAGTACAGCAGGGTGCTGGCAAGCTGCCAATTCACATCATCCTCCATGGCAACAGGTCCAACATGAAAAGAACGGTTGTTGTCCGTGACCCAAAGATAGAGCGCTCTTTCCGCTTCACCCCCCGACGCGTACCCTTTCTGAGTGTACAGCATGACCTTCTTTTCCTCAATGGTCGCGGTGATGAGGGCATCCACGTGCAAGCTCAGATCGAAAATGACTGCCGATTTTGACTTGGTCCACACGCCTGGGAGTGTCCCGATGGTCCCCGTCCACGTTGTCCCCATGTCACGCGACTCGTACACCCTCTGGCCATCCTCGCAATCAACAATCATGAGAAGTGATCCCTCCCATTCGGTGACGCGGGGGTAGAAGCATTTCGCAGGTGACGTTCCATTCGAAAGCATCCAGTTTGCGCCGCTGTCCGTCGAATAAACGATCATGGAGTAATCGTCATTATCATCATCAAACGCAATCACGGGAAACACAAGCGTGCCACCCTCCATCAGAACACCTGAGCCACCAGAAGGAAAAAACCTCTCAAATTTACCTTCGTAAGAAGCAGAAGAGGTATTCAGGACTGACAGCGATTTGGGGTTGTCCCAGCTGATCCGTTCACTCGGCTCGCCACCCGTAGAATTCGTGACTGCACCCACAACCAGTGTCAGATGCAAGCTGTCCCGAATCAAACTATCATTGACAGAAGACAAACCAGGGCTTTCCGCAAGAAGAAACACCTTGTCGCCCTTCGCGATTGTTGTGGGGTTAAGCGTACCACCAAAACGTTTCTTTCCATCCGCTGCAGTAAGCACGACGTGTGTCTTCCATCTACTTTGATTGACCTTGTCAACAAGAGTGGACCAGTTCCACGCAGAGTCGATGTACCCCGCAACAACATCAGAGTGAAAGGACTTAATTAATTGGGCACCTTCTTTTGGGGCGTTCGTGTGATATTCGGCATACACGCGACCTTCGGCGAAAGCAGCAATTACTCCACCAGCACTGACAAGAGATGGTGAAACAAATGAAAGCCTCTTCGTTTCTGGAGAAGTCGTGCCTTTCGGCAGCACCTGCGTCTTCTGCGGTACAAATAAATCAACCCTCTGCAGCTTCCGGAAATTCCTTAAACCACTCTTCCCATTATTCCCTCCAGCGGATGCAGCTCCACAGGTACCGCAGCACATCATCACGACGAGGAGCAGCGCAGCAGAAAAAAAGAGATGCCGGGACATGTTGGGCCTCTGCGGCTCACTCTCTCTTCCTTCCCTCTTCCTTCCGCGGGATGCGGTCACGCGGCGACGGTTGTGTGTGCGGGGTGTCTTCACAGCAGCAACAAGTGAGAGCATACAAATATTTGTGTGTGGGCGGTGTGTGTTGTTGTTCCTTTCAGAGCCTTAGAATTTCACGGTAGCGATTCACGCTTGCTTGCTTTCTTTCCTAACGTGTCCGTGTGTGCGTAAGTAAAGAAAAAATAACAACAACAGTGGTAATTAAAGAGAATGCGTTAAAGAAAAAGTGCACATTCAAACGTCCATTTCAAAACTCATGTTTTTTAATGAGTACTTCAGGCAGACAAATGCCTTTTACCTTTTTCCCTCAGAACGGGTCAATATCCTCCCACGTTGCGACGCTAAACTTGTTTTGCTTGCGTTTCGTTTTCTTTCCCCCCCCTTTTTGTTTTCAATATCCTGACTTTTTCGTTCCCCATCGTTTTTTTTTTTTTTTTTTCGTGTAAAATGCGGTGAAGGAAACACACAAAAAAAGAAATAAATAAATAAATGAAAAACTAAGTAAATCATTTTATCAATACGTTTTCTTCCCTGGTGCCTGCGTTCCCACCTAGCCCCTACCTTGAGATGCTTGACATATATTGCACGTAAGGAGTTCCATAAATGAGGGGTCTCCACGCCATTCCTCGACGGGAGATCCAATGTATCCCAGGTGACCTCCGTAAGGGAGTTCAAGAAAAGCAACAAGACTGTTGGCAGTAACCAACTCCCTCATTTCCTTCCTTGGCGGTTCACCAGTGACGGGGTCGTCGCGAGCTATCACACATAGAGTAGGAATGGTACAGTGTCTAAGAGATGTGAGTGTGTTTACCGCTGCGTAGTACTCCTCGGGATTGGAGAAGCCATTGTGTGGGGCTGTGATGTGGGCATCAAACTCATTTACTGTCCTCAGCCGTTTTAGAAAACGAAGAGGGTCTTTACGTATACCGTCGTCATTGACTCCTGGTAGTTGCTTGAGCATATCTTTATGCCGAATGGCATAACGAATAAGACCCCCAACCAGATTTTTCTGGTAAAGAGCATTTTCCGGTTGCATCATATTGGCGCTTACAGCCAATGTATCCAGTGGGCTATTAATAATGAGAGCTGCATCAAAAGGAAATTCTTTTGTCATATTCTGTCCTTCTTCATGCAAGTACTTTGCCAGGACGACCCCGCCCAAACTGAAACCAACACCCCATACATTTTGAGCTGTCGCACCAAACCTCAAAGATAGCGCCGTTCTTGAAAGCTCCGTGCGAGTAACCCATCGGAGGTCACCGGTCCATGATGCAGACATGAGTCGCGGCCGGGTCAACGGGGTGTCACCCATGCCCCGTGCGTTAAAAACACAGCAGTGAAATCCTCTATCATGAGCATGCCAAACGTAATGCTGAACATAGTTGGTCTGAGACCAAGACGCCAGGCCAGGGAAAATAATCATGACGCCATTTGCTGGGCTATTTTTTTCCTCTGCAAGAAACCAGTCAAGACAGATGGGATTACCATCAACACTATCAACGACCTGTCGCGTGTATTTAATCGGTTTTGGTGGACGAAAGGCACAAAGGAGAGTGCTTATATGTCCATTGTATGGAGGAGAGGTGTAGCAGAAATCAGCAAAACTCTCAAAAGAAAAAAAACATCGTGTATTTGTTCCAGCAGATAAAAAATCAATCTTTTCCTCGATCTTTTCCGTCCGTTTTTCTTCAGTCATTAGTTTGAAAGCCCGCTGAAGGCGTGGGATGTCAATATAAATCACGTGCACAACGACGTGTAAAACCCAAAAAGAGACCCTTGCAAAAATTAAAAACATTTTGTGTTGGAAGGGGAAGGGAAAAGGAATAGGGGGAAAAAAAAAAAAAAAAAAAAAAAACTATAAAAAAAAAAGGGAAAAAAAGAGAAAAAATAAATAAATAAAGCAGCAATAACGACAAAGGCATCGTCCAAAAGAAAGAAAAAAAAAAGAAAAAAAGGTGAAGGGAGGGGGGCGGGGGGGGAGGCAAAATAATAAAAAAAAAAATAAATGGAGCGGAACAAAAAAAAAAACGTTCTTTAAACCAACAGAGTGGAAACAATTCCGTAGTTTTCGCCTTCGTTCTTGTTGTTGTTGATGATGTGTTTTTTCGTCCCTTTCTCATATTCTCTAAGCATAGTGTGTTTTGCTCCCATTGGAAAACAAAAGAACATCACGCACCTTTTTAAGTTCCTCGATGGTGCGAGCGTGGGTCTCGGCTGCGTGCCCGGCGTCGTTGGACATCGCGTCGGATGACGGCATCCACAGCAACTCCAGCCGTGCAATAATGGACGCCAAGATGGTGCCTTGTTGATTCATGACTTCGATTGGGGAAAGTAGGGCGGACGATGTGGCGAGTGCCGATGTCTCTTCCATCGGCGGAGGCGTTTTTGCTCGAAATAACTCATGACGTTCTGGAGGAGTGAAATAACGGCCAATCCCATTCTTTTTCGGGTCTCGTTGCATGATTGTCATTTCCACCAACGTGCCCACGTCCTCCACTGGTGGATACTTCATCAGACGCTTCAGGGCGTCGATACACCCCACCATGAGATCTTGCTTCACATAGAACAACATGGATGCTGCAAGCATCGTTACGATACTGTTGTTCAGAGTATAATCATCGTGTCTTGCAAGAAATCGTTCCGATAAAAATAGATCCCACAAGTCCGCACATTGGGGGATGGAAAACTCCCGAAGGTAAAGGAGACGTAACCAACGTATTAGATACGACGTGCCTTCAATCTCATACACCACATTCATCTGATGGTGCAACACGGGGTCAAATTCTGCCAGTAATTCCCTCTGTGTCCTGTGGGACGCCGTGGCAATGCTGTCTCGTGCATACTCCTCACTGCTGTGGTACCATTCGTACAAACGCAGCCCAGACGCACCCATAACGTTCTCAAACAGTGAAAATGTCATCGCCATCACACCGTTTATGGGACATATGCGGCAAAATCCATCAATCAGCGCCTTGTCCGCCTCCTCAGGGGTCTTTGAAATTTCCTCCAAAAGGGCACTGTCGGTGTGATTCAGGTAAAAAATAAATGCTGCGATCTCATGCATGCCCTGCTTGTACCCATAGTCATGCCGAAGGCAGTAATTGACAATAATATCCAGCAGGGCTTTTCTTGTCGTGGACTTCTCAAACAACGGAAAATCCCAGTGAAGTCGATCCAAATCTTTCTGTGCGGTGGCGCGTATCGTATCCACGCAATACCGAAGAGCGTACAAACTCCCCACCCCCGGAAGAAGTGGATTCTCCACCGTCCTACTTTCCCCGTCATCAGCGCAGGAGGAGGACGAGGAAAAGGAGGAGAACTCATCTTTACTGACAAGCCCCTTTTTCTCCACGGGTCGCACAGCAGAATCGGTAGCCACGAGACGTTGCTGTAGATTGTCGTTCATTTCATTCCAGTCGCGTATTTCAGCGCGGGTGCATTCCTCCCATTCCTGGAAGTGCCTTCCAGCCTCCACATTCACCGGAAGAAGTCCCAGCAACAACCGCCAGCGAAGACTGTGAAAGGCACGAAAGGGACGATGCCGCGCAAAGTCCAAAACACGTCGAAGCAATGCCTCTTCCAAACGGCCCTCTTGCGCTGAGTGATGAATGTTACGGAGCTCCTCCATAATAACGCCCACAATGCAATCCTGAGAAAACAAACAAAAAAAAAACCGCATAATAAAGAAATAAAAGAAAAAGAAAAAAAAAAATAGAGAATAAATTTACAACACTTGCACGGGCATTAAGGTATAATTATTATTATTATTATCACATCCCTTGGAGTGGAATAACGTTTTTTTTTTTTTTTTTTTTTGGTTTCTTCACGGTATCCAATGGCATCTAACCCTTTATCACTGACACATCTAACAATACTCACTAACAACGCAACAACACCCTCATATCAACCAAACCACTCACGTGAGTAACGGCGTTCTTCTAGCACGCATCGTAGCGGGTGTAAACCACTCTCGTTTCTCAATTCCCTGCAAGCAAAGAGGTGACATCACCTTCGTCCCATTCTTCCTTAAAACATTATCACAAGAACCGCAAAGTGCCTTTGATGCGGCTGATCTCAACCGCTCCACTGAAGAAGAGGAAAAGCTCCATGCCTTGGGGGTTGGCCTCACTCCGTGACCTCTCTCGTGCGTGACCGACCCATACAACTGTTGTTTTCTTCGCTGCAGAAAAAGCGCGTTGCCATAGAGTCGCTCAAATACACTTACGCCCTCCGTCCAGCGGAAAAGAAGCGCCTCATGCGTGTGGTTGATAGCAGGCATAAAGGTGCAGTTGATATCGTCACTGTCATCTTCTTCCACATGGAGAGGCGCCTGACACGTGCATCTCCTCCGTTGCGACAAGAGAAATAAACGTTCATGGACGTCTTTTTGTGTGTTCACCCTGCGTGTGCCACTCCCGCCGCGGATCCGCTCACCGCAGTTAGCCTCCGAGGCATAGCACGATGAACAGCGCACCATCCCCTTCACTCCAGACGGTAAAAGAATCAACAAAGAAGCAGCAGCAGCAGCAGCAGTAAAAAAAAAAAAAAATGATGAGGGGTACTTTTGCTCTAAATAAACATGCACAGGCAATAAAGAAAATTCTCAAACAAAATAAATCAGCACATCGATACCAACACCATTTCATTCTGTGTGATCCTCCTCGTCTTCCACATCAATCTCCTCACACTGAGTCTCCTTCTCAATTGTCATGTTATGGTCATCCATGACCTCCCGCTGGGAAACCACAGAGACCACATTACTGAAACTGTTATAAACGCCAAAATATTTTTCATCCTCCTCAAGTCGCTTCAAATCTTCTCTAAAATCCTCCTGGCAGCGTGCCAGTTCCTTCTCACGGCTCTCTAGTGAGCGATTCCACTCCGAGATGGTTTCATGCTTCTTTTCTAGTGCCCGCTTCCGTTCCTCAATCTCGCTCTCGAGCGTTTTGAGCTCTCGCATCGCCTTTTCCAGGCTCTGCTCCGCGTTGAACTGCTGAAGTTCGCGACGCTCCATTGCCCGCTCATCCCTCTCAAACCGGCTTTGTCGCTCCGCAAGA